CATCACCAACTTCATTACAGTTACACAGCTGACAAATCTGTCTCTCTTTTAATGCCTCTATGTCGACTTTTTCTACTGGTAGCTGATTGGCTGAAATCCTGAATTTGGTTAGAGCATTTCTAAATTTCCTGTTTTTGGTGTTTTCTAAATATTGTTCAAATTTAATACAAGATTTAAAAGTGCTATAAGTGCAAAGTTTGTTATTATCTGTTTTGGTGATTTCTTTCTTCCATTTACTAAAGTAAATGTTTTCCATTTTTTCTTTGAACATCTCATCAAAGTCATTCTGATTAAGGTCATCAACTGTAAGCTGTGTAACTTGTAATAGTTGTTTGACATAGATGTACCATGAATCACAACTACTAGACTTGCTAAAATTAAAAGCGGCTTCTAAAATAGAATTGCTTGTTTTCTTACAATGCAATCTTTGAAAATAACTCATAACTGTAGTACAGGCATTTATAATAATTGGATATCGACCCAATTCCCCCCTGCAAGCATTATTTGAGGCTTTTCTGTTTACTCCCAAGACCTGTTTGCAAAAATTAATATGTAATTTCTCAATGAGTACGTCTGCCTATTCATAAATTTAAGATGAGTACAATAGAAAGACAATGAGTCTTATCAGGTGTGAATCACCGTGCAGCGTCCATCTCTCGTACGTCCATGATATGTCTAATTATTCTAAATACACTAACTAAAAGCGGAATTACATAAGATTTTCCACTAGGGTCGATCAAATCGACATTTTCTAATGTCAACCAAAAATATACGTCGCCATCTTGTTCTTGACGTATTTATTAACAAAACGTTGTTTTCGTTCCAGTACTGTAGGTTCGTTTTTCGGCCACAAAAAGGGTATTTGTGATCGCTGGATTTGATCGATAGATGTTTTAGCTGGTTACAATCATGAAAACTGCAGAACGGCTCTCCGCCATAAATTTGTAGGCGGGTGTCAAATCCTCGGTCTATGCGACTTCTCAGGACTGTGGGGGCCGAATGATCAGCGGAAGAAGGCCAACCTACAGGACTGTACTACAACGTGAACAAAACATGTAAACAAAATAAGCACTATGAAATTTGGTGTTTTAAACCCTGATACGCATCAAAACTAGCCTAACAACTCATAAACATCCAATTCCTGCCAGGTAAAGATTAATATCGGGAATATGTTAATCTATGAGTTTTTACAGCAAGTCTCAGAAGTATTGGGGCAGCCAATTTGCAAACTCCCTAGTGAATTGGTAACCGCTTTGGTTTTGACTAAAACAGTTGGCTTTCGAATCTCACTGGTGCCAACTCGTGGTCACATCCACTCTAGGCGAGTCTATATTGCATTTGAGAACATAGAATTCTTTTATCTAGCCTGGTACATGTCTGGATTCCCCTGAATGAATTGCTTTGCGAGGCGTGATAATGTGAAAGTAGTAGGTCAGGCAGAGAATGGCCACAGTCACCTGGCGTACAAGTGATAATATGATAAATGCGATTAATTCACTGATATTTACTATGTAGGGGGTATGGCCAACTTGAACACTGATTGAAACTAAATAAAGAGACAAGTTGAGAAACACTTCTTACAAATCAGGGATAAATAAATTATCCAAAACATCCAAACGATTCATTGGGGTAACATTAAACCAACCGCTAATAAAATTTGACTTCATCCATTGTTTTTGCGTGGACAATCCCTTGTATATGAACACCCATTACATGAAGAAAACAGAACGCTTTTCCTGGTATATTTAAAAGCGAAAGTGCCATCCAACTAAAGTATGATGACCGTCCGCCACTGTTATATAGATTCACCCAGAGTGGGCGTGATCGCTGGACGGCGCCATCGAGATTCAGAAGCCAACCGTTCAGTCAAAACCAAAGCAGTTAGTCAATTTGCTAGCGAGTTTGCAAATTGGCTGCCCCAATACTTCTGAGACTTGCTGTAATAGAGAAAAAACGGCGCATACCAACATGTTGAAATCGCTAAACAAACCTAGTCGATCGAAAAACCTGTGATATTTCCGATTTTTGGGGTTTCATAACAATTCAACTATACAAAAACTAATGACTTTATTCGATGCAAAAGTATAAAACAATGCTTAAATTTTTTTAGCACTGAATAGCGTACATTGTCATTTCAAAACATCACCATTTGCATTTTTGCCCAATTTAACATTAATAAAATGAGGTGTGACAAATAATAATACAGCTTGCTTGTTGCTAATTTTGAGCTGCTGTTACACTATTGGTCAAATGATGTTTGAAGGTGAATTCTTTTTAATTAAAAGATAAAAAATTAATGCTTCACATACTAGTAATTCATGTTTTTATATACAAATGTAATAATTTTATTTACAACATATACAATCGGATTAGGGACGACGTCAAAAGATCGATGTCGGATAAAAAACTTAATTCCTTTAGTTTTTTTCCAAACCCCCCTACCCCCCACTGAAACTTAATTGATAAATATTGGTCATGGTGTCAGACTACATTCACCATTAAATACAAATTGATAATCGGACAGTACCGGTAGTATTGCATAGCAGTTGGTTGTCGGGTGGGTGTAAACAGATTTTACAAATGCACCTCATTTGACACACAGATTTACACTCGAACCAACCCATTTTTCTGTTGTTTTTTTCCCTTTTCGGTTATTTCTGTCAATGTTTGGATAGAAAAAAAACGAACTACAAATACTCCAAGATTTTTTTGACTTCATTAAAAAATAAAATCGTTTTTGTAGCATGGAAACTTTTTGAGGTCAAAACCCCCCACCCCCAAACTAAAGGAAATAAGTTTTTTATCCGACATCGATCTTTTGACGTGGTCCCTTATATCAGAGGCAGTTTGGATAATTTTATTATATGGTCACAATGTTCAGGAAATCATCCTCTGAGCAATCAAAAATATTTCTAGCTTGTTCAATGACAAATACCGTAAAATAAGGCACTGTCCTGACTTTGCCTGATATGTGATTTTGATGTTATTTTCAATGGTTTCTTTAACCCAAATTATCCCGGCCTCTTCATGGGGCTGCTGTTAGTATAAGTATACCAAGATTAGCCCCATGCCATCCCATCACACTTGATACATCAATGAATTGTATACTTGTAGTAGTGACTTGGTCTTGTCATATGTCCACAATTTAGCATATCTGATGACAATAGTGTTGGGATAGTTTAGAGTAGGGATATTAAGTTGATAAAGCATTTTTGTGTTATCCCAGGGGGTGGGGCATGTGGCATTTTTGTGTTATCCCAGGGGGTGAGTTATGTAGTATTATTGTGTTTCAGCGAGTGAGGCATGTGACATTTTTGTGTTGTTCCAGGGGGTGGGGCCTTTGGCATTTTTGCGTTATCCCAGGCAGTGAGGCATAAAATAAAGCCATAAGGTTAAAGTCAAAGAAGATTTAATAGTAGCCAGCTGCCTTAATATCCTGTATGTATTGAATAGCATATTAAAAAACAATTCCATTCAATAATATCTCTCATCGATGGCTAACTTGCCTTTGAATATTGACTAGCATATGAATGTCATAATTATCAGTATATTAGCCCCTTGGGAGAACATTCCAAATTTAGAATAATATTACTTTGATGATTAGTTTGTACTTCTTAATTAATAATCCATCTGAGTATCAGTATTACCGATGTACATGTATGCCATAAATTATACTGTTTTTTTTTTTTATTTGTGTGGCGAAAAAATCGCTAAATTTTCAAAATTAATAAAAACATGTCCTGCAGCAAAATATGATTGATACCAACAATGAAAATATACATGTATTGACTCGGACACAAAGGTTTATGTAAATCAGTCTTGAATAAACAAAACTCAGCTGACTGATAATCACTCTTTGCTATTAAAACCTACACCAATCCTGACTAGTACATTAAGTGTCTATCACCTGTCATAACTTCAAAATCATAACATGTAACAATTGTGGTATTTAAAATACAGCTTTCAAAAAAATTTTAAGAAGCAATTTACAGTTATTATTCTAAAATAAAAACGAAAGCAAAAAATCAACACATTTGTCAATTAGTCATTTTATCTTTGTGAGGTTATCTGAGGATATTATTGTGTATAAATATCAATAAAGATAAAGATGTTGCCAAGGGTTTACCTAGCAACACACTCTTATCGTTGTAACTAAAATAAACTAGATTAAAATTCATTGGTAAAAAAAAAAAAACAGCAGTACTTCAGTTGGGTTGAAGCATAGTTACAAGGCTTATACGTTGAACAAAACCTGTCAACAAATAAGCTGCTCTCTGATTGGTCTGACTGTAAAGTGTTTGGGTTGGGTAGCCAATTAGGGACAACCTTGTAGCTTTGCATTGACTTCAGTACTGTAAACATCGGTTATTCACTGGTTTTTAATTTTGCTATTTTTGCTGTCAAGGGAAAAC